GCTTCCATGGGTGTTGATTGTGGATCCAAGTAAAATGAAATCCTTGACAACTTCAGTCTTTTCTCCGTTTATCATGATGCTGCTTATTGGTCCAGTTGTGGGGATTTTTATGTTGAGGTGTAATCCATACTGAAGGCTGTGGTCTTTGATCTTCATCAGTGTTTCAAGTCCTCTTCACCTGCAGCAAAGAAGGTTGTGTCATCTGCATAATGCAGATTAATTCATCTTCCTCCAATTTGATGCCACGTTTTTCTTCATATAGGATAGCTTCTTGGATTATTTGCTCAGCATACAGATTGAATAGGTATGGTGAAAAGATACAACCCTGACGCACACCTTTCCTGACTTTAAACCATGCAGTATCCCCTTGTTCTGTTTGAATGACTGCCTCTTGATCTATGTACAGGTTCCTCATGACCACAATTAAGTGTTCTGGAATTTCCATTCTTCGCAGTGTTCTCCATAATTTGTTATGATCCACACAATCAAATGCCTTTGCGTAGTCAATAAAACACAGGTAAACGTCTTTCTGGTATTCTCTGCTTTCAGCCAGGATCCATGTGACATCAGCAATGATATCCCTGGTTCTGCATCCTCTTCTGAATCGGCTTTAGTTTCTGGCAGTTCCTTGTTGATATACTGCTGCAGCCACTTTTGAATGATCTTCAGCAAAATTTTACTTGAGTGTGATATCAGTGATGTTGTTTGATAATTTCCGCATTCGGTGGGATCACCTTTCTTGGGAGTAGGCATAAATACTGATCTCTTCTAGTCGGTTGGCCAGGTAGCTGTCTTCCAAATTTCTTGGCATAAATGAGTGAGTACTTCTAGCACTGCATCCGTTTGTTGAAACATCTCAATTGGTATTCCGTCAATTCCTGAAGCCTTGTGTTTTGCCAATGCCTTCAGTGCAGCTTGGACTTAGGTACCACTGGTTCCTCCTCATAGGTACCTCCTGAAATGGCTGAATGTTGACCAATTCTTTCTTTACTCTGTCCTTTATGGTGGCTATGATTTGGAAGCAACTCGACGGCAGTGGGTTTTTATCCTCTGCTCTGTAATGCTAGGGCTGGGACACTGCAAACTACATTTCCCTGACTCTTTTGACAGCTGCCTTTCTATTAGATTCTGCCAATAAGAAGTACTAGAAATTACACAGCAGGAAAGGGAAAAGAAATTTATTTTTGCTTGCTATTTCTATCAGTGTTGCCCTAATAATGGCAAACTGTGGAAGGTGTCTGAATGTTCAAGAAGTGTTAATATAGAAAGATGTCCACATCAGAAAGGATCTGGAGCACTTCGGTCCAATAACACTTCATGAGATAATGAAAATGTTCTCAAATATGTTGCCCAATATAGTAGCCGAAAGTCAAACATGGCTATCAGCATTTAAATGTGGCTAGTGTGACTAATTTTTAATAGTATTTTATTTAAATTTAAATAGTCACATGTGGCTAGTGGCTACCATATTGGACAGTGCAGGTATAAGGCAACTGCAAAGCTGGAGAACCTCCAAGACTGCACATCTGTTATGATGCTAGATATTTTAACAGGTTCTGGGGTTACAAAAACAAGAGACACCTTTTCTCTTTAAAGGATCTCAGTCCAGAAGTGGACGACAGACTTGTAAATCAAACCATTTTGAAAGATTGTTCTGCCAACAGTGTGTAAGATGGTGTATAGGGACAAGATCACAGACAGAGAGGTCATTCCAGGACAAGTCCAAGAGCCCAAATTAAGAGATAAGATACTTCAGCAGCAGCAGCAGTGAGAGAGCATAAGTATTAAGAAATTTGACTTGTCAACACTTGGTGATCAATAGGAAATAAAAGTAGAATTGAGCATAACTTGTCATTTCTGGATTACTGTATTATTCAACAAAGGAATTTAAGAATCAGGTTTGGGAAGAAGTGATGAATTCAGATTTAGATGTGCTAAGTTTAAGGTGCCTGTGAAACATCCAGTGCATATGTTGAACAGGCAACTGGATATATACGGGTCTGGAACCCACAAGGGAGGTTTGGTTGGAAACGTGGATTAGTGAATCATCAGTATGTAGGTGGTAAAGGAAACTCGTAGACAAGATCATCCAGGGAAGGTGAAGAGAGTGAGAAGAGGACCAAGTACAGTATGTTGAGCAACACCAATTATCTAAGGAATAGGCACAGAAGGAAACAACCAGGAATGCAGGTAGGAAAGAGAGTAGCCCAAAGAAGTCTGTCTCATGAAGCCAAAGATCTTGAAAATCAGCAGGATTAAGTGATAGTGTCATACTATAAAAGAGAGCTGACAATTACTGAACACGCACTATGTGGCAGACATTTTCTAAGTGTTTTCTACGTAGAAACACATTTAACCCTTAAAATAACTCTGTAAGGAAGGTTGTATTGTGATTCTGACTTTATAAGTGAGGAAACTGAGGCACAAAATGTCAAATAGTTCACTCAAGGTCAACACACAGCTAGTAAGTGGCAGAGCCCAGATCTGACCTTAGCAGTCTGGTTCTACTCAGCATAGGAGAGAGAAAAGTCCAAAGTTAAGCCCTGAAGAACATCTGAGTGTATATTTGGTTACAGAAATGGGTGTGCCCTATTCCTTAGGGTACACAGGTAAATTTAAGCCCTCCATCATTTCATGTGACACAATAATGAAAAAAGCAAACTCCTCTACCTTACTCTAGCCATACTCAGTCAGTCTCTCAGGGAAGGACCACAGATGATTCTCAGATAAATTAATGTTGGAGAAGCACCTATCTAGAGTAAGAATTCTCAAACCAGTTTTCAACTTAAAAGTCGTCTAGGAATAAACAAGATAGATAGCACCTATACACCTGTTTTTAAAAAGCTCGTCATACTTTTTTGAGAATATACACAGCAAAACATACACCAATTCAACTGTTTCTACATGTACAATTCCGTAACACTGATCACATTCTTTGAGTTCTGCAACCATTCTCACCCTCCTTTTCTGAGTTGTTCCTCCCTAACATAAACTCATTGCCCTCTAAGGTCCTATCTTTCAAGTTGCTATTGTCAATTTGTTCCCATATAAACAGTTCTGAGAAGAGCATAATGCTCAAGGCAGACCTTTTTTATTAGTTAAGCTAAACTACTGTTTAGTTTTAAGAAGACTTTAGGGTGTATTTTTTATTTAAGGGTAAAGATTACCTCAGGGCAACAGTTTTAGGGGTTCATCCAGCCTCCATGGCTCCAGAAAGTCTGGAGTCCATGAGAATTTGAAATTCTCCTCTGCATCCCCCCTTTTGACCAGGATTCTTCTACAAAGTCTTTGATTAAAACGTTCAGTAATGGTAGCTGGGCACCGTCCAGTTCTTCTGGTCTCATGGCAAAGGAGGCAGTTGTTCACAGAGGCAATTCTTATATGTTTTGATGCACAACCAGGGTTGAGAACTACTGATCTAGCCCTAGGCTGTATATACATATATGTATATATAAAAGAAAGGATCATTTGCTAAAGACAAACTGATGTACAGGCGCTTTGGCCTAGTATTAGAGGGACAAAAGACAGACTATAGATAACTTTTGTAAAAGTTAATGGATGGATGTTAAGTAATGGAAGTTAACTAACAGATGTTTATAATGGATGTGTTTTTAACTAAAAAAGGCCCTTGGGTTGTGAAGCGGTTTGTGATTGGCTGCTAACCTAAAGGCTGGCAGTTCAAACCTATACAGTGGCTCCACTAGGCCTGGTGATCTGCCTCTGTAAAGGTTATAGAGAAAAAATGCTATGGAGCAGTTCTAGGCTGTAACATACATAAGTAACATACATGAGTCAGAACTGACTCAACACCAATGGGTTTTTTTTTTCTTTTTAACTAAATTTCTACTTCATACTAATTTTGACTTGATTTATACTTTCTTCATAATTTTGGGTTACTAATGTTGAACATCCTCGTTATACCCTGGTTAAGTAATGATTAGCTATAAATTCATAGGTAGGGAGGCACAAAGTTGAAAAGGCAATCATACCCAATATGCCCAATTTTCTCAACAAAGGAAAGGAAAGGTCATCTGTTACTGAAGTTGGCATTGAGTAAGAGGTTGAGGATAGTAGTGAAGGTTTCAAATAGCCATTGAGAAGAACTGTACATGGAATGATTAAAGATATTTGAAATTTTAGTACGTATGTGTATTTATGTGTATTCATTTTTTTATATAGTTCCCTCAATCATGACTAATTATTATTATTATGCAATTGTTAGAAAAAGAAGGAATTGGGTCTAGAAAAAAAAATAATGTGTTAAATACACGGTTATTTCATTTCTGTAAAAAACAATGACCCCGAACCAAAAAAAACAAAAAAACCCACTACTGCTTCTGTGTGCCTCATAACATTCTCTGAATATGGAATAAGGTGTGGCTGCAACAGTTAATAGCTATCTCCAGGTTAGGGGTGAAGTAAGGAAAAAGGGAAGTATAAAAGGGTTAAGAATAAAAACACTGTAACAAAACATCCACCTTATTATCAATTAAATCTAAAATCAAGCAAAAGAATTTTCAACCACTTCCTTGAAATTACTCAAGTGACAGAAATACAGAGCAGCTTCCAACAAATAAGGGATCATGAGTCAACTGAAATTATACAGCATCAATTTAAGTTGCACAGAATGCTAGTAGTCTTACTTAATGCATTGGTTCTCAAACTTGAGCAAAACATCCAAATTACCTGGAGAAGTACAGATAACTCCAGAGTTTCCAATCAGTAGTTCTGGGGAGAGGCTCAGGAACTGCATTTCAGGTGAAGCTGAAACTGGTCTGGGGACCACACTTTAGGAAATACTGATTTAGTGCATGGTCACCACTGTTCTGTTTTAGTGAACGTGAAAAGTACTAGAGGAGCCTCATAAGTTCACTCATGGCTACAGTCTTCCTAAAACCTCTACTTACTAGAAGTTCCTATGAAGTCTTAAGTTCTTCCACTGTGAATGCTACTCTGAATTACTTCAAAACCTAATTTGGGGAGTAGTAAGGGACTACTATAGTAATCAAAATGAGAGTCATTTAAATTACAACGTAACCTGCAGTAGAAGACAGTATTATGGGATTCCAATTTTTAAATTACTAACTATAAATTATATTTAACCCAGTAAATAATGTAAGAGAACTTCACTGACCTAAGACCAGATTAACAGCTGATATAAGAACAAGTTGTTTACCCAGGTCTTGGAAAAAAGTCACTTTTTTAAAATAAGTATTTCAGATTCATTATTAGGAACAATCTGGTTTTTAAGTACAAATAAATACAGTAATCTTACTTACCTTCAGCACAAGAGCCACATGATTCCCTGGATGTGTCACTTGCAAGAAGTAATTTCCATTTTGTGTTTGAGCATTTTGTGTCTCAGCGGTCAATTATACACATGAACACAAACAACTTAACCGATGAGTATCATAAAATACTAAGAGTTTACAAAAGTCTTGATGATACATATGAAGTGTCTAAATTTTTGATAGGCCTTGAAATTCAATGCAGAATACTAATTCTGCTCAGTAGAGAATTTAAAACCTAAACCAAAACACATTTTGATAGTTGCAACCTGCAAGATCTAACCTTTATAACAGACACAGTATCCATTTCTTGTCATTAATATCTTTACATCGATACCTCTATAAAGAATATAATATAATAGTTTAATATTTTCTTCCTCCTCCTCCATTTCGTGAGGCACTTACAAAGAGCACTAGTTTTGGCGTCGCTATAACAAACAAACACATGGTATAATGAATATTTTACTATGCTAACAAAATATTGTTTATAAAGAAATTTTTATAAATTCAAAAATAGGTTGCTGGTAACATGATTACCTTTAAAGCACTGATTTGCATTCACAATATGACTTCATTAAACTTAAACAGCAGTTCCATCTACAAAATGTTCTACAGATATTTCCTTTTTGAAAAGGAGGTAAATAAAAGCAGGAAAGATACAACTTCTAGTTTAACAATATTAACTTCATTTCACAGCATTGATTAGTAGAGAACATTTTCAATTAAAGTGGTATACAATTTACAAAAATAATGATTATATAATGCAAAACATTGTTCTCCATTATGAAGAATATATGTGTATGTGTATGTGTGTGTATGTATATATACATATATAAGTTTCACAATTAAGTAGCCCTTATTCAAGTACTTTTTTCAGGTTTCTCTTGAAATAATCACCTTGCTATATTGGTTATAAATACATAAAAAAATAAAAGGTTAATCTAAGAAACGATTAAAAGTTTCAGTGTGGTTTGACTTAAAAATCAGCCGCTCATTTCAGTGAAAACATTATTTGAATTCAAAATAGGTTTAGGTGCCATACTAAGTTCAACAACTTAGTAAAAAATATATTTAAATGTCAAATATTTAGTAAATGTCCAACATGCTAACATTAGAGCAAAATTAAAGGACTTTATCAATCTGTTTATCACCCAATCTTAATCAATCCCAAGACAAAATTCATTTATATATTATAACTAAAATAATGCACTAATATACAATATACCTGCTTACAAACACATAGGTAGCCATTAATAAAACTTTATTCTTTAATTTCATTTACAAGCTACCAAATATTATGTATTATACATAATGCTGAACACTTAAATGGCTGCAGTCATGGAAGGATCCAGACTGAATGGAAAGCTGTTGATAAAGAAAAGGTAAGAGCAAAGTAATACTGTAACAGAGGGGTGGCAAAAGCATGGTTTGCCATAATAAAATCTATCAGATTTGTAATTATACATCAGTTCTGGTTAAAACAAAGTCTGAGTGCCATGCGATTCTCAGTTTATTGTTTGCAGTCTGGTTAAAGTCTTACAGTCATTTTGTCTTTTGCAGTCATTAAAATAAAAAAAAAGTTAAAAACTATAGCAGCAACAAGCATACCCTGTGTGACAGGAAGGCAAGGGTTAAGAACTAAAAAATGTTTATACAGTGTGTTTAGGGAACGTGTGCACAGTTTATCTTCCATCAGCAGGAGTTCGACTGAGGGACAACATGATTCGGGCAAATCGCTCACAGAGTTCATGCGTGGAATATGCAGGTAACTTCGGTGGCTCATGGAAACCCTTAATCTCCGTACAGCAATCGAGCAGTTTAGGCAGAAAATCTGTAAGCTTTTCTTGAAGGTTTGCTGCAAATACAAACAATCAGATGTAACTAAAGATACAGAGAGAGAGGGAGAGGAATATCACCCTCAACATGATTTAATAACTTGGGAGTGGTCAGCTGATGATTCATTTCAAAATATGTAAAATGCTATTTTTTAGGAAGTGGTAAAATATAAATGGCAATAGCAGTGCACACAGCTTAGTTTGTAAATAAGAAAAAAAGTAGTGATATAAATGTAAAAATACTACAGAATATAAAAAGCAGTAAGAATGAATAGTATCTAATACTATCTGCTTTCAATCACAACTTAAGTGCCCACTAGCATTATTTAAACTTACATTCCATTTCTTGTCCAAGGTAGGAACACCATCGATTTCTCATATCTTCCACAGCAAGTATATCTTTCTCCTCCATCTCATCCACCAGTAACAAGGGCAAAAATGGGACAATAAACTCATTCATGATAATCAGACCATTGTTGACTTCTCGATCCTCTCCAGATTCAAACAGTTCTGCAGCTTGCTCATTTAATTTCTTAATGCAATGAGAAAAAGAACAACAGGTTTTGTTTCCTTTTCTAATTAAATAAAAAGACCTTTATTTAAGTGTTAATACTGAAGACACTCTAATAGGTATGTTCACAAATGGTATTAGAGCAAATGATAGGAAAAACAATCTCAACCTATCTGGACACTGAAAATCTCTTATAAAAAGCTGTGCGTAAAACAATGGCAGCAGCTACACAAGCAGGAAACAGTGGGGAAAATATTGTTGCATGTTTTTAAAGTTCATGCTCAGATTATACTACTTCAATCATCACTATCGGTGCTGTTGTTACTAGGTGCCATTGAGTCAGCTTTGACTCATATCAACCTTATATATAACAGAATGAAATGCCGCCTGGTTCATCACCTTCTTCATGATCACTGGTATGTTTGAGTTCACTGCTGCAGCAGTTGTATCAATCCATCTCTATGAGGGTTTCCCTCATTTTGCTCACCTCCTACTTTACCAAACATGATGTCCTTTCCTAGCAATTGGTCTTTTCTGATTATGTGTCCAAGTAAGCAGGCCAAAGTCTTTCCATCCTCACAGCTAAAGAACAGTCTGGTTGTATTTCTTCTAAGATTAATTTGTTCGTTCTTCTGGCAGTCCACGGTATAGTCAATATTCTTTGCCAACACCACAGTCTGAACGTATCAATTCTTTTTCTGTCTTCCTTTTTCATCGCTACAGAGACCATTTTTTATTTATTTCCTGAAGAAAATGATTTATCCATAAGGTTCCAATTACTGAAACTACTGGACTTTCCCCAATCTAAAATTTGACCAGAACTTGAAAGTAATTTAAAAAAATAAATTCAGACTCCATATTAATTCTGAAAAGCTTTTCATCATCTTCTCCATAAATGTCAAATGAGTAAGCACTGTTACATTCCTTGCTACAAAAACCTGTAAGTAATCCATTAATTTATTCTTTTCACAAGTTCTTATTGAGTGCATGCCATGTGCCAGAAACTTTCTAGGTATGGGGGTCCCAAGTGAGTAACAGACAAACTCTCATAGAGTTTACAGTCTAGTACAAGGATGGCAAAACTTTTCTGTAAAAGGCCAGATAGGACATATTTTAGGCTTTGTGGGTCTTATAGTCTCTGTTATATCAACTCTGCCATTTAGCACAAAAGTAGCCATATACAGTATGTAAATAAATGGGCACAACTGTGTTCCATTATAACCTTATTTACAAAAACCAGCAGTGGCTGGAGCAGAGGTCATACACAGTTTGTCAACTTCTGAACCAGTAAAACAAAGAAATCCATAAGATAAGACATACAAATTTAAGATACAGATAAGGAATACAGACACAATAAGAGCTATATATTTGAGGGTTCATGTCTGAACTCTTATGCTATTATCACTTGGTAAATATTATTTTTAAATAATCATAGTTTTATACTGAATTTCAGATACAAAAATTATATTAGTCATGCTTGTATTATGTCATTCTTGTACAATTATTCTTGACTTTGGTGTCTGGTTTGTGCTAAAAGTCCCACTCAGACACTAATCAACTATCTCATCTTGAGAAAATTACTTAAATCTCAGCTTCAATTTCTTTATATGAAAAATGAGATGTTTATCTTCCTTCAACAGTGGTTAAGAGGGTTAAGTGTGATACAGCCTGTAAAGTATATACTATCCAGGTAGCCTCCAACTTACAGCAGGACTCCATTCCAACTGCCATAAATCGGTTCTGACATAAGTTGAATGTCTTGTTTTGTTTTTTTTTTAGTTTTCATTATTATTGCCTTTTATTATCAGTATATCTTTATAAATCTGATCTTTATTTGTCTTTGAGGGCTGGAAACATTACATATAAACTTAGATATATTTTAATACATACACACAAAAACGTAACAGAAATCATAAAAATTTACTCTGAAGATGAAGAAGAGTTGGACGATCGCATTCTGTCAGTTACAGTAATAACTCCACTTGTGGAAGGTTCTGGATCATCTGGATTATCCCTGGGAATGGGGATGGCATTTCTCTTCAGAAAATTAGTGAGAGTTGTCTGTATGGTCTCTTTCTTTTTTACTTCATATATTTCACGGTAATATCTCACTGCTTCCCAAATCTGCCTATTCACATTAGCAAAGCAATTAGCATTTGTGTCCGTACTTTCAAGCAACTGAAGCCCCTGAGTTTAGAAAAAATTCCAACTAATCCTCTCACTATAAAATTTTTTGACAACTTCTGTATTTCCTCTTCCTCATTTCTTCCTTCTTCAGCAATTCTTTCCTTTTCAAACTCCATTAAGTCTTGATCTGTCAATTCCCCTTTTTTGTGATATACAAGCTGTTCCATGTCAGTGATATCAAGTTCTAAATTCAGCATTCTTGCCAGATGGACGATTTTTCTACCAATCTCTTCCATCATATTATCCTGATCAAATGCTTAGGAGTGTGTTCACATAACTCAGCAATTTTCTCCATATCCCCTGCATGCATGTTCCTGTAACTTCCTTCCAGGAAGATGTACTAACAATAAGATGTATCAGAAACAAGCAAACAAACACAGACAGTCGTTAGTCTGCCATAACTTGAATATGTTGTAAGTAGGGGACTACCTGTTATTTTTGGCAACGTGTATCATGTATTCAAAGAGATGTAAGTTATTATTATTATAAAGTTAATGTTAAGTTTTGTACTAATTTAATTTCACTGAATCAAAGAATTTCCTGGAAATACCTTAAATTTAAGATGCCCCAAACCAACCTTGTTCATCCTTTTTAGATCCTCTAATTGTCAAACACAAAGCTACAAAGTCAGGCAGGTTGGACTCTATTTCTGTCTTTTCACTCATCTAGTGGTTACCAAGTTCCTTGATTTCATTTCCTTCACCATCTTCTTCTTCATATCCGATGCACTTCCACCCTACTTCAGACTGTCATCCTCCTTTCCCTGTCAATCCCCTCTAAGCTTCCTGACTTCAATCTCTACTCCTTTCCAGCCATCCTCTACTATAATACTGCCAGAATTATCTTCTGAAAATCAAACCTGGTCATATCAAACTTAAACTAACAACTGCTCTTGACTATGTATAAAAGAAAATGTAAATTCATTAGATTGGCAAATAAGCTTCTTCATAGTTTGACCTCAATAAGTATTGTCAACTTCATTACTTCCACCTAATCCTACTTTTCATAGCTAACAACAATGGATTTATCTTTGCTTTCTGTCATATATTTTCCATGCCTTTTCATACAGTGTCTCTTTGCCTGGAATGTTCTCCTCCTTTCTCTGTATTTATCTATCAAGATCCAAATCATTTTTCATCTTATCTCTCAAAGTTCTCCCCAACAATTCCAGGCACTTTATTTCGCACATTTCTTGTAATAACACTTACCCCAGAACACAAAAACTACTGGCTATGCCCCTCACCAAATGGAGTTCTCGGAGAACAGGGAATGTGTCTTACTCATCTTTGTATCCCTCAAAACCTGACACTCAGTAAATACTCGATAAGAAAACACCTGAAAGAAATACTAAAATAATCATCATGAGGTTCCACTTATGTTCCTACGTAAAACCACAAACTAAGTGTGGCTTGTTCACTGTAATCAAATGGAAAGAGAAACAGTCTACCATTTTTTAAATGTTTTTTAAAGCAACCATTAAGTTTTGGTTGCCTTTATATACAAAATTAGCTTTACCAAAATATTTCCATATCCCAACGTTTTAAGTTAAATAAAAATTGCTCTAATACATTCAATGTATATTTTTATATATTTATATAAATCTTCGGGCGTGTGTGTGTGTGTGTGTGTGTGTGTGTGTGTTTTAAAAGTTGAAATATATATAATTCAGCTCCTCCTTGTCAGGGGTAAATTCAAAAACCTTTTGAAACTGGCCAAATTGAGAATATTGTTATCAATGAATACAAACCATTGCATAAATCAAGTTTAAAAATAAACCCAAATGAGTAAAATCAGCTGAAAGAAAAATAGTAAGATGACAATTTTACTATATTGCCATTCAAAAATTGTAAAGACTTATTTCAGACTAAAATTATTGCACATTGTACATTTCCACTGAAAGAAAACATTGCACAGGCACAGCTACTTAAAGTTTTTAAAGTACACATAAACCAAGTAACAAACTTATGGAGGATCAAAAACCAAATACTCTTGAATACATTTTTCTATACATACATATATATTTTTTTAAAGAAAAAAAAATCCTAACTTAGGAGTTCACAGTGTAGACTGAAGTACTATTTAATTAAGAATGAAATCTAATCAGAAAAATGTACAAAGACGAAGTTTGTGGTTTGATACATACGTTAGCTGATTCAGGGAACATGTACAAAGTATTTGGACATCTAGAGTAAAGTAGTGCAAACAAACTGTTAAAATGTAAAAAATATTTATAAAACACTAATATTTCAGCACCTACTGAAAATATTTGAGGAAAGAAACTGCCAACCACTAGGTACAAAAAAGGATACTATTACTCAATCAATTCTTTAACATTATTTACACTAAATATTAATACCATTTATAAAATCTTTGAAAAATTCATTATTAGTTTTCTGGGTAACAAAAATGATACTTCTTCATGTTCTATGCAGTCTCTCCTCCCTTACCAAAAAAGGAGTAATAGCAGTGATGAAGAAATCTAAATATAGGACCTTAATCATTCTGATCCCATTTTAAGAACATTTCTGGTTTATCAGCTCTAATACTTAGGAGGCATAAAGACGGGAAGATGAAGAATTAAGTGTATTTCCCCATCTTAAGGGAATATGTGGTAAAGACTCCGTGGTAAAGACATCACCGTGGCTTTTGCCATCACAGTTTATAGAGTCAACCACTGATACATGAGCCTGGAAAATTTGACTGAAGTAAGATAAAATGGTCAAGTAAACATGATAGACATTCAACTTACTAGTAAGCACTCTCTTCTATAATGTGATATCAACTCTTCATCATGTCCTCTGTACAGGCCTTTGGACAAGAGTTCTTTATTATTCTGATAAGCACAGATAAGGAACAGCAAGGAATCTATGTAACTTAAAAATTAAAAAGAAACATCCCATTAGTATTTCACCTTTGTAAAATAAATAAATAAATTATAAAATGTTCAAATTTTGATTATCCAGAATAACATGACAGCAAAAAATATCACTGGACAGACTGTATGGCTGAGAGCATCTTCTTAACAATAGCAACATCTGAAAAGAGGAGAGAGTTAAGTCTTCACAGTAAAAAAAAAATTAAGAGCTAGAAATTTACTTAAGAAGGCTAAAATTGATGAATTCAGATAATTCCTTTTGTTTTCTTAGGTATTTATTTTCCCGATGTCTTCCTTTTGGATTAAAAATTAAGACTGATGTGAAAGCCAACAATCTTCTTGTTTAAAAACATAAAGTCATTTTTGAGTGAAGGAAAGGATCAGGTTACTTGTTTTTTTTAATCACAAACATCAATTGTTCCTTCACTCAGTGACTATTAACTCAGTTCTTTTCTTTGTATAAGCACTGGTCTAGGCATTCAGAAAAATGTGGAGGATAGGGGGAGAAATTATCCAAAGGAAATAGGAGAAAGTAGAAAAAGAAAACAATGCTTCTAAATTTGGTCAACCTGGTCAGATTAAAAAAAAAAAAAACCTAACATAAAAGGCTGACAGGGTTAGGCCTATGTGTAATAGTTAATACAAGTAATCTAAGACTTTAATGAATTTCAAACTAGGTTTATAAATGGGAGCGGAAGAAAAACATTTAATATATTTCTCTAAAATAATTAACTTTCTCTTAGCATGCTATTAAAAAAAAAAAAAACCCTTTCCCATCGAGTCAATTCTGACTTATAGCGACCCTATAAGAAAAAATATATACATCCATATATGTGTATAATCGAAATATGTAAGATATTTTAAGGTATCTGTTTTGTGTCAGTATTTCCAATCTAAAATATCATAGATTAACAAAGAAAAATGTAACATTCTAAAGAGTGAAATATGTTAAATAAAATTTTAAAACTCTATATTGCCAATCAGTGTTACTGTTTAAGTTAATGTGCTCAGATATAAAATTAATCAACTCTATATCCCAACTGCTAACTATAAAATTATTTGGAAATTAATACACACCATTTGTGACAATCAAATTATATACCTAAAACTATGTCACGAAAAACAAGCTTTTTTAAAACAAGCATTTTTTTGAAAATGACTTCTCAGAAGTTTGTTTCTGAGAAAACTTGAGTGCAAAATTTACTTTGAAACATGGACATAATCTCAGCTAAAGATATTTTGTCTTACTTATGAAAAAAAGGGAGTGACCGTAACATTAAGCATAGTTTTATACCACTATTTTTAGGTAGTTGTTATTTAATAGGTAATCAGCACAAATTTCTTCTCTTTCACAGCTATCAAGTTTCCTGTTAAAAAGGTCTCCCCTGAGTGACATTCATATCTGGCTTTCCCCTTGAGAATAGCTTGGAAACAAGGATCTTGGTCCAATTTTCTACTGAGGTACACAAATGTTCTGCATTTTACCAACCTTTAAAGTGCTTAAGATTTTATTTTCAAATAAATCCAGAGTAAGACTCAGTATTCCAGTTACCATCACATTCTTATTTAAGATACATTAAGACTACATAACCTGCTAAACCCTTCTACCCTTCACTTAGGCTCTTTTAAAATTACGGTTCCTAAAAGCATGGTTTCATTTCGCTACTCACAGAATTGGCAATGGCCCATCAGTAAATCTTTCATCCCTGGCTTTCAAGTATTACCATTTTCATTAAAAATAATTTGACAGAACCATTCGGCAATGTTTTCTATGCTGGTAGTTTTAGTAACTGCTATATTTAAAGTGATAAAACTAAAAACTAACATTTCTTTTTAAAATATTCCATATTATTTGTTACTATACTAATTTTCTAGTCAATCCTTCCAATTTAATAAACATTTACTATCCTGGAATTCTGGCTTTCCAAACAGGTATGTATCTAAGAACTGGTTAGACAATTATAAAATTTGAAAGTACTTCTAAGATATATCTTAAAATCCTTTAACAAATGTTAACTGAGAAAGCTAATGTAGGAGCTATGCAGGTAGATAGAAAGTGACAGTTTCATCTTTTTAATTCTTACCGAGTGAGAAATAAATGGATAATATTTTTTGTACTTAATCTGATTTCTTTAAATTATATAAGACTACTTGGGTCTCTATTTTTATTGTTAGTTCCCTAGTTGTGACTTGACAAAGTTACTTCATCTCTGTGGAAACGTATTTCTTTATCTTCAAAATGGAAATACCTTCGTTGATCTTAGACACTCTTCAATTGTAATCATATTAATATTTTTGTCACATAAGCACAAATCTCAGAAAACCTAAAAGTAAATTTGAATATTTCTACTATTAACAAAATAAAACCCTGACTGAAATATAAACTCCTAAAATGGAGCTATTGATCAAAATAGTTTTTTATCTCAATGACCAAAGGGAATTCTTTTAAACTACACAGTGACCAGGACTTTAATAATTTGTATTTAAGTATTCCCATTACTTTGTATGCAATAATCTTTTAACTTCTGATAACTGTAAATAGACAGCATTGCCCTCTAAAGCAGCACTGTCCACAGAACTTTCTGCAATGATGGAAATGTTCCACATCTGTACTGGCCAATATGGTAGCCACAAGCCACGTATGCCTACTGAGGATTTGAGAATTGGTTAGTGTGATCTAAAAGGTGAAATTTCAGTTTTAATAATTTTAATTAATTTCATTTTAAACTGTCATGCATGGCTGGTGACATCATATTTAAGAGCACAGCTCTAGAAGAAATAGTTCATTTTACCATAAAAAACACAGCATTGTACCTCTGTGGAGGCTTCTTACATTTTACACACACACGAAAAAAAAACCAGAGAGACAAAGAAAGTCGAAAAAAAATTCAATACACCTTTCTTTTGGCTGCAATGTGACACTGTTTTTAAAATATAGTATTTTGTCCAAAAAAAAAACACTAGCCAAGTAAACTAATGTTAAAAACAAACACATTGCCCATTGAATCAATTCTGCCTCACAGCAAACCTATAGGACAGAGTCAAACTGCCCCCTAGGGTTTCCAAGGAGCAGCTGGTGGATTTGAACTGTCGACCTTTTGGTGAGCAGATGAGCTCTTAACCTATGCCACCAGAGCTCCTAAAAATATTTAAAAATTAATGTTAAATTAAAAATTAAAAAATTAACACTAAAGGATGTGAATTAAGAAATATATGGAAATAAGTAAAAACAAAAGAGCAAACAAACTGAGATGGTAAATGAATCAAGATCTATTCTTTCTTCCCAATAATAAATAACATGTAACAATATTATAATTTAGTAAGTAGAAACTTAAACTTAAATTTAACATCATGTATAATTTAAATGAGAAACAATCTAAACTATGTTTGCAGTCACAGTACTTGGAAGTGATCAGTTTTCCACAGCTATACCTTTTTATAATGCCTAAAAATTCAGACACTGAGACAGACTGGAAACATCTCTTACTTGAGGTCTGGATTAGACTAATATTCTGTTCTAGGTTTCAACTGCAGTGTTTGGGAACTGACAAAAATAAAGACACTAATAATAATCTTACAGATTTAATTTGAAAAAATATTTTCAAAAAATATATTGTGTGGAGGGTATATGGGAACTCTCTGTACTATCTCTGCCATACTTTTTGTAAATCTAAAACTGTCATTAAAAAGTTTATTAAAAATATAGTGTGAATAAAACCTTTTCTTTAAATGAAGTAATCCTAACCAAAATTAAGTACAAAAATTAAGCTCTTATTTTTTCACTTTGCCTTACCTTTCTCTTTGAAAATGTTCTAGCCCAATTATGAGATACATGGTTGTTTCCCTGAATTTCCTATAATCCTGATGCCACTCCTGTAGGTAAAGGAAAATATTAAAAATATACAGAGTAAGACAATAAAGTTGAAATGAAGACTGTTCATAAATTAACAAAGTTATCAAATAATCCTGATAACTATTTGAATTAACAGAAACAAAGAGTTCAAATTTAAGATAAATTAGACCAAACTCAAGATTTTAACTTCTGACTCACAAAACCATTTACTAATATAATAATAAATATAAAAATTATTACGCATTGATGAGGAATTAGCAAAGATCTCACTAGGACATAACAAAAATACAAAAGCAGGATAATCAATCAGGTTATCTCTTTTGTTCTCAAAATTCCTCACTATAAAAGCATATTATTAAATATTATTAAAGTACCTACAACACACTGAATGTTGGCTAAATTTTTATGGAAGTACAAATGAAGTTATTACTTTGAAATGAATCAAAGCTTAAACACTGTAACTTGATACAGAATTTTAAAGAATTAACAGAAAAATGCTAATTATAAATTTATTCAACCTTTCAATTTTTCCAAATTTGTGGTAAAATTTCATTGTAAATATGGTAGCTGGATAGTCTATTTACCTGAGGAATGGTAAAATGGATAGCTGCAAAGAAGGTGTATTTTACACACCCCAAACAAAAAAAACACAAAAAAACCCCACAAACCCGTTGCCATTGAGTCGATTCCAACTCATAGCAACCATACAGATAGAAGAGAACTGCCCCATAGGGTTTCCAAGAAGCGGCTGGTGGATTTGAACTGCTGACCTTTTGGTTAGCAGCTGAAATCTTAACCACTGTGCCACTAAGGCTCCTCACACACCCCAGCCCCCACACAAAAAAAATATTATAGGGCATGTAATAGGACTAGATGACTCAGAGCTGACAAATTATAACTCAAGAAGACAATAAAATCATCATTTTCTTAATAAAAATGGATTCAAGAAAAACATAAAACTCAATATACAATTAAGCTAAAAGAGATACTGATAATAGCTTGTATATACATACTTTTATAAGCAAATGTAAGTAAGAAACATACAGGCAAGTTATTGGCCAACAATATTCTCCTTGAATATAAACAGTTTTAATTATTCAAGGTACAATTTTCATAATATTAGTACACTTTCATAAAAAATGAACGTAAAAGCTGTTGTGCAACTATAAAATTAGCTTTTCTGGGGAAGGTATTCAAATTGCCATTTCATGTTGCCATTAGAATAGCCTTAGAAGTTGTGACTTTGATAAAGAGTAGGAAGATTTCTTCTGTAAAGGGCCCGATAATAAATGTTTTTAGGTTTTGCAGGCCTTGCAGTCTCTATTGCAACTAGTCAACTCGGCCACTGTAATGCAAAAGCAGCCCCAGCCACAAACAATATATAAACAAATGTTGGTGTTTCAATAAAACTTTATTTATAAAAACAGGTGGTGAGCTGGATTTGGTCTTCTGGTCAAAGTTTATGACCCATGACTTCAAGAAAGACAAAGATACGAAGGATATGTAGAATCCGAAAACATCATTTAAATACCTCTAAGATTTAATTGCTCTGAAATTAGAATACAAGAAGGTTTCAGAATAAACACTGCTGAATTCAATCTGATGAAGAAACCTGAGGGCTTGAAGACTCAAACCACATTTAAAAATTAAGCACCCTGCAACTTGAATCTTGGGAACATGGCTAGAGAGGATCAGCTCACTTAAAGGACATGAACGTGAAGTCATTATTAACTAAAAGAAGATTCAATTTGCTCCTCATGGTCATGAGGAAACATATTCTGGATATCTGTGGTTCCAGATCATACATCTTAGTTAAAATTCTCTGGCTAATGTGCTTCCTTTATGGGTAAATGCCTTTGAGCTTCTATTTATGTTGTTTTTGTCTGGATTAAATTAGTTAATACATATAAAGGGCTTAGAAGAATGCTTGGCATATAGCATGCACTTGATAAATACTAGTTATTATGTAATTCCAATTTAAAAACTAATATAATCTGTTGTATTGTTGAGCTGGAAAAGTTCACAAAAAAGTAGTTGGAACTAATCTTGCCATATAAAAGAAGACTGTACTTAAAAACAAAATGGAAAAAATTCCTTGTTTTGGTTTTAAATCTTTTGGTTTACATGCCATCATATCGAATAAACTCTAAAATAATTTATAAAGTTATTAATAACTTGAGTATTGACTTAGAAATTTAATTTTTACTCATCAGCCATAACAAATTTGAACTTAGTTGTGCTTGTGCTGAAATTAAAGACATGTCAGGGAATTACTGAAATCCACAATCATATATAGTTCAAACTCTAAAAAGGCACATTACCTCATATTCCTCCAAATTTACTTCTTCAGGTTTTATCATTTCAAGTTTGGCTTGAGCAACTTTCATTATATTGTGACACCTTCAAATAAAAGAAATGTTATTTCCAAATCAAAAGCAACATCCATAAAGTGAAAAAAATGTGTGTTACACAAAATCTAAACTACCAAGCACATATTAAAATGAAATATGTTGTCACTGAGCAATTTTTTTTAGAGGAAACAACTCCCAAATAACCTTAAGTGAAAAATATGTTTTTTGGACCAATGTTAGTTACACAGACTATAACGATAGCATCAATACTTCTAATTCAAATCTACCATGCTATAGTTATATTTGGCTATATGATTAAATTATACTTTATTAATAAATATACAAACTTACTATAGGCCTCCCAAATGGAATTACAATACCTTGAACACACACTGAAAGATGCAATAAAAATTGCATAGGGAAAAAATATGAAAGGTAGTTTTTTCCCACAATGTGTATCTATTAAGCTCAACAGACACTAAAACTTGTTTGTCCACCAAATGGCATTGTCCTTAAACAGTAAAAAGGAGAAATCCAAAATGTGCCTATCATTTCAGTTAAGGATGGAAACATTCCAAAAGATTTTATAATCAGAATTATTGCTAAAGAAATTCCTACAAATTGTAATTAATCACATACACCTGTCTTTCAAGCACCAGCTACATCAGGTTATCAAAATAGATTGACTACTTGTGATTCCCAGGAGAGAGAACTGCAAAGGATTAAAAAATCAATGTGATTACTCCATTAACATCTTCACCAAATTCAATAGAACATATGGACTGGAACATAGAACAGTGACAGCCCAGATGATGAGAGCCATAATCAGTCATATTTCTGAGCTCTTTGCAGCCATATGTAGCAAAATAAGTGATTCCCATACTACTAGTAGTAAAAACAATAGTACTATCCAAGATTCATCAAGTACCTAAGTCTACCAGGTATTATTCAAAACTATTAACTTGATTATTTATTTCAATTAATTAACTGCATAGCAGGCACATGGTGACACAGGATTTGAATCCAGATACTGTTTTTCCTCATATTCTCCTCAGCTACATATTTTTTTTTTTACAGATTATCATAAAAGGATAATCATTTCAGAATTAAAATTTGATTACAATGAACTCTGATATAGCATAAATGTTTCTGTATTCCTAAATAATTTTCAGTATCTTGGACCTTTACATGGGGCTTAGATATTTTTTGTTTCATTCTAACTAGATTAAATTTTAATTTTTAACAGAAAACATTTTTTGAAAATCCAAAGTTAATTGCATCATTGTACGCCTTCTCTTTTTGTCAGAGGATGTTTATTTATATACTTGACTCAATACTTTTCTCCAGTGCTTCTCAAACACAGGGGGATTTTGCTTCGTTACACCATGCCAGGGACATCTGGCAATATGGACATTTTGGGCTCTCACAACTTAGGGGATGCTACTAGCATCTAGCACGTACAGGCCAGGGGCACTGCTAAACATCCTACAATACAGGGCAACCCCCTTACTTACAACAAAGAATTATCTAATCCAAAAGGTCCACAGTGCAGAGATCGAAAATTCCTTTTTTTTCTTCTTTTAAAATATTGAGTCCCATAAGGCAGTCCTTATATTATACTCTTAATGTGTATTCTCATATTGTTTAGCTTACTACCTTGGTTCACAATTAAAATTTACTAAATGATTGAAGTTATTTTTCAGCCCAAACTTTAAAAGGCCATGAGAAATTACAAAGAAATTACAGAGACATTACAAAGCAGCTGTTCAAATTAGATGAAGTCAAATTTTGTGCTGTATTTATTTAAAAATGTGTTTGTGTATGTATAAAATAAATATTTAAAAATTACACTGGGGATTTAAAAAAAAAATAAAACAATTTCAAGCATATGAATTAGATATTTCACTATTTTCAAATTACCTTTCATCAAAACTCAAATTTCTATCTCCAAATTGTTCTAGCAATGTTTTCTCAATGATTTTCTTTGGTGCCCGGTTCTGGATAAAGTAGATCACTACATGGTGTAAACGATAATCTGTTTCTGGTGGGGTATCTTCTTGGGCCAACTTAACCAACCTTGAATACTCCAACTTTATTGCCTAGAAAATGCAATGAAAATGCTAATTTTGGTTGATTATAGTAATTAAAATCTTTCAATATTATAACTTTAGTTATGCCTGAATTCCACTTTTTTTTGTTTTTAAGTTTTACATTACAAACAAGTTAGTACATCTAAGGATACTGTTCCGTATTTCATAGTTTAAAAATTTTTTCTAAATTATTGACCACATCCTTTCACTATACAAATACTGTTTTTATTTTCATACACAGAAGTGGTAAACTAATACATCTAAGCTGACTAAGTGACTAATCCTGTCAAATTTATGTGTTCAGAACCTGGTCACTGAGATGCTAACTTCTCCCACTTAGTTTTTATAATATCAGTGTGATATGCATGTCTAATATTCCAAATTCTAGGAATGAAATGTAACTCCTCAGAATACCAACATTATCTGAAAGAAAATGGCTAGCTCTTGAATTACTTTAGAACTGAACAGTCCACAAATAAAGGATGATACAACAAGCCCTGATGTTGTAGCTACCACAGAATGAATCCCTTGTTGCTTATCAAAGTCAGAATTTTATTAGTATACTAATTATTACTGAATGTTATCACTATTGTTATCTTTGAGCTTACCTTTTCTTTATTAACAGAAACACCTCAGAATTTACAATTAATCACAATGGGGAATAATAAATACTAATACATAGCAATACATGTTTTCACATGTGAGCAAATAATTTGGAAATTATTTTCTCATATAGAGATATGTGGAGACTTACACATCAAATACTGCTGTATACAAGAAGTCTATATAATTAGATGACAATTTTTATATTCATTTATATTAGACTTATATCTAAATTTTAGCTCTATTAACCACAAAAAAATGTGGAGCTAAATATACAAAATATATTACAAAAAAATCCCTTCTCTTTAGAAAGGTTTTTTTGTTTCGTTGTGTAAATGCATACCTTTCTTAGGTAATTCTTGGCAATCCAGAAATTACCACCTATCTGGCTGCATTTTACAGAAGGGAGAAAGTATAACTGATAAACTTTAAGTGAAATATTCTGGTTATATTATACTTCATTGAAGAGAAGACTAATAATAAGTCTTTTCTACACTGCTTAGCATTACGAAAAGAATAAGAGAATCATTTTATAGCCAATACAAATGATTAAAATACCTTCCCTTGAATAAACTGATTTTTATTTTCAGAATGTCATTCCATAGTCTTACTGCTGTGGTTACAAACAGCCATGAAAATTAACACGTTGACATGTAAGATTCTAACACACGTAAGGCTTGCTTAAAACCCTTATGAATCTTCCTATTTTTTTTAATTTGGGGAAAAAATGTAATTTACCTCTTCACCTTATTCTAAGATTCTAATTTTCACAAGTGAATGTCACAATCACAATAAACAGTGATTTCAATCTATTAAAGCAGTAGAGATAGAAAGGCACTTCTAAATTTCTAGGAGTAATATTTCACACACACACAAAAACCCACTTTCATCAGCATAAATCTATTTCTCCACTATTTTTGTTTATTTTTAAGCTTCCATTTTAGGAAGTTTTCTGACTTTTAAAATATACCAGAATCATATCCGGTCCTTCACATTCTCAACAGATGTTCCATGCTGGTATATTTAGCAGATTTCTACACAATCTGCCGTTATGAATAATTAGCACTGCTGAGCTGTTTGATTTGCCTTATAATACTTCCGCAGAATCTAGCTCTAGAATCAGTTTGCGCTTTCCATATTTTTTGGCTATGATGGTAATTAAGTAATTATTGAAGATACTGTGACGAAACCACCACACATCTACAAAATAAAATGTGATGTTGGTCATTAGGTGACAGAACTACTTTGTAATTATTTTTTTAACCTCTCTTTCACCATGGTCCTCCTATCCTAATCAGAGCCAATGTTACCTATTCAGTCTTGATTCCTATTACTCTTTAGCATGGACTTCTTCTCACCTAGGTCCACAAATGCACAAATGCCCTTGCTTATTAAGTTCTCTGCATGTGTGATTTCATTTCTTGTTCTCCTCATCTATCTACAGAGGACCCATTCAACAAGAACAGTTTAATTCTCTGTCCTTCGAAGCTTTCTTCAGTTCTAAAGACCCAGGTAATTTCTACCTAGACTTTTTTCCTACTTTTCTAAATTATATTATAATTTATAATTTCTTAAAGACTTTATTTAATTATACACATACCAACTACACAAACATACAGTATATTCTAAAGGCAGAAAGATGTCATAAAAATTTGACTAGACCAAGATTCAAAATAACTATATATGTCACTTACTAATTGTGACATAAAGCAAGACAAAGAATCTTCTAAGTCTCGATGTTCTTATATCTAAAATAAGGTTAGTTGAGCTTAAAAAAAAAAAAAAAGGCCAATTGCCATCGATTCAATTCCAACCCGTGGCAACCTCATGTGTATTAGAGTTGAACTGTGCTCCATAGGGTTTTCAACAGCTGTGAATTTTCAGAAGTAGATTGCCAGGCCTTTCTTCTGAGGCACCCTTAGGTAGATCTGAACCCACCAACCTTTCAGTTAGCAGCTGAATGCTTAACAGTTTGAACCACCCAATGGTCATACTAGTTGAGCACAGAGAGTATATATCTTTTACAAAATGCCTAAGGACAATATTTTAAAAACTGGTAGTGTTAACAGGAAATGAAGAAAATTTACTTCAAATCCCAATGGAAAGAAATTATACAGGCCATATTCTTTGACCACAATGCAATAAAAATAATAAAAATAATTCCTAAACAAAACACTTAGGCATTTAAAGATAGTGTTCTAAACTATTCTTGACTCAATGGAATCAAAATTATATTAATATTGGGAATATGAATTATGGAAGCCTACAGGATACAGCCAGAGTGACAGTCAAAGGAAAATTCAAACTTAAACAATACAGAATAAAATTTGTTTCAAGAAGCTAGAAAGAGCAAGGAAATAAACCAAAATAAAGTAGAAGAAATAAAATAATGTGATAATTTGATAGTCAAAGGCTTTTTCTTTTCAAAAAGCCAAATGGAAGACCAAAAAGGGAGAAAATACTGAACACTAGGAATAAGAAAGGCAAAAATACAGAAAAAGTTTTAAAATTTGTAAGAGAATAATAAACCTTTTAGGCCAATAAATTATAATATCTAGATTAAACAACTGATCATCTAGGAAAATATAAATTACCAGGATTTCTTTAAGAGGTAGAAAAACTGAAAAGACCCAGCAAAATTAGAGAACAACTGAAAAGGCTGCCTAAGATCTGTACCCAGTAAAGGAAAAAGGCCCACACTACTTTAAAGCTGTGCTGTTATGTCAGTCTTCAAGGACTAGATGATTTCTGTGGTATCTAAATTGCTCCATAGTCTGAAAAATGGGGGAAAACCTCCTTAATGATTATATAAGGCTAGTATAATCTGAATATCAAAAACTGACAAACATTAAAACAAGAAACTATAGATTAATTTCATCTATGTACCTATATACCAACACCCATATTCACTTTTTAGAAACTGCATTGTTTAAAAAAAGAATCTACAAAAGATAGATGCTGTTTATTGTGGTGTTTTAGATCACTGAGTGTACAGAATAGAGAATTCAAACAAAATATTGCTGTTTTTCAGTTTCGTTTGTGGAATTTGAAATTACTCAAATTTAAAATAAATTACTGGACTGTGGAAAAAAAAAAAGACAGATGCTGTTTACAGAGATTAAAACAATCCATGTTAAGATCTTTACATTATCACAATTAAGGAGAAATTTTTTCAGCATCTCAACAGATGTACTTTAAACGCTAAATTCCAACACCCATGAATTTAAAAAAAAAAAAAATGTCTTAAACCACGACTATAAGAAAATATTTTTCAATTTATCAGGGTGATCTATAAGAAACCAATACTATACATCATACTTAATAATAAAATACTAGAGAAGAGACATTCCCATTAAAATCAGGAAATAGAAAAAGGGGTATGCTACCATTATTTTAATATTCAACCACATTCTGAAACTCCTGGTCATTGTAATAAAACTAGAAATAAAATAAGAATACAATGGGAATAATGAGATAATAACTAGGAGTCAGTCTGCTGAAATATTCAACTGAAAAACTATTAGAAAACGAAGAGCTCACTAAGATGACTAGATATAATATGTAAAACTCTAGTTTTCATACTACCCACTTTACCAATAACCTGACAGAAAAAGTGGTAGAAAATGACCTAGTTCTTATACATTTACATATAAAATAAGAAAGGTATAAAACATTATGAAGTAAAATTATAAAACTTTACCAAAGAATATAACATGGAAACAAAGAGAAAAGGTATATCATTTCCCATTTAAGACTCAAAATACTAGTAGGCAGAATTCTCCACCTCATATTAAATTAATGCATTAATATAATCTAATTCTGATGCAATCTGGGGAGGGAGTTGGCAAACTGGTTTTAAAATTTATCAAAACGGAAAATTAATGAGACCAAACTTTTTCCTTAAAGAAAATGAGAAATTGTTTTTCCTACAAAATGTCAAAATATATTATAAATGTCCAGTAGTGAAAATAGATAGGCTGTTCAACACAGAAGAATAGGGTCAGTGGGATAGACACCCATAAAGACCAATTTATAAATGGGATTTAGAATATGATAACTATGGTATTTCAAGTCAGCGTAAAAAAAATACATTAATCAAAATTTTATATTTGGACTACCGAGTTATTTCTCTATTTCAGGGAAACTAAACTCCTGTGTCTTGTAATCTAAAGAGAAAGTTAAATCATAAAAAAGCTCTACAAGAGTTAAAGGTGTGTATAATCTTGGTAGAATCATATAACCCAAAACCTATAAAGAAAATTGTCATATTTTGTAAGATGAAAAAAAATCTGCACAGTAAGCTACCAAACATAAACTTAAAAGACAAGTGATAAACTACAAAACAACTGGCAGATTATAAAATGAATTGTTTTGGTAGATCAAATGCTTAGTTCATATATGTATTT